TCAGGCCTTCTCTTAGTTTTCATTTGCACGGGCTTCTCGCTCTTCGGAATGGAGGCAAGGTGGGCACGGCCTTCACCATACTTGGTGCACGACAGGCACAGGCAGGTACACAAGGTCTGCTTGCGTGTGGAGGACAGTCCGCACTGGCACCCTGAAAAGCTTGACACTTGACTTGCAGGCAATGCCTTGTTGCTTCCATCGAATGGTAGATGCCAATTAGTAGCCAAGTTACGAAGGTGCACGTAGATGTGCATAGTGTAACTCATGCCGATCATGCGCTGCATATCTCAGGACTTTATGACCTTTGGTTTCGACTGGACGCCAAATATCTATCCAAACTACATTCGACAGGAGGGCTGTGTCCTTCTACTGCGCATGCTGTGGCCAGAGCTGTTAGTTAAGCTAACCTGCTCTGCATACCAGAACTATATAGGGTTACACTGCTGACTTCCGGGGAAGCAGAAGTCCAAGTCCGCTCAAACTACGAAACCGACAGCGCGCAGGCTTGGAAACATGTGCGCATTTGCCAACATGCGTGAGGATCTGCTTTACGGGCGGACATTCTGGACCGGAGAGGTAATTGAGGACTATGTTTTCCATGCCGCCTGCTACGGATTGTTCTGTTGATTTGCAACCTAGACATGGCAGACTCAGACTCACTCTCAGCACCTGCGTTATGACTCGCTTTCCAACATTCCAGGCATCAGTTCAGTTGAAGATGACATGCCGCATACTGAGGCGGCCAACCGACATGTTTATCTGGGCGTCCTTTTCTGTCATCCAGCGCACCCCTATAACAAGCGTCGCGGCGCGGTCAGCCAGAATGCTCTTGACCTTGCTGGCGTGATCAGCGGGCCAGGGAAGCTGTAGCATGCTCTAGCTGAGGTGGCAGCGTCTGGTTGTGGCAATCTCTGCTTCCTGCAGCACGCCTGCAATCTCAGCATTGTTGATGCCTTAAAGCTTGCGAAATCTCATCCTGGGATGGCACACCTGCTGTAAGTATGCGTGCTGGAGCCTCTCGCCCTCACAGATCTCTGCATAGGACGCTGTTTGATGCAGGGGAAGTCAGGGCTTTCGCCTCAGACTCAACGAATTAACGTTCAAACCCGAGGCATATCTTGGTTCGTAGTGACGGCCATTGCAGCCTTCACCGGGCAGAGTTCACTTCGCCGCTTGGCCAGCGAAGCGATTGCAGTCTGGATTCGGGGCTGCAGAGCTGCAGCAGCCTCACATCCGACTTCTGAAGTCTTTGCCACGTGAGTGCTGCGTGCGTCTAGACTCTAGAAGTCTTTGGCCCTTAGGCTTCCTAGTTGACCTTTCCGGTGGCAAGGTGTCGTGGCCATTATCATCCTTTGCCTTGTGACGCGGAACACGCTGAAGCTGATCCTTCTCACATATGGCATCGCACGCGCAGCTTGGCATTGCTAAAGAGATGTCACAATACCAAAGCTAAAGGTGTTCCATGGGACGTTGGGAATCATTCTTCCAAATATGAAGTCAACCTGTGAATGTTAGCAACGCAGACTGACGCACTGCACCAGCTTAACACTTAATGCAGACCACACGAAGTTCTGTCCTTGCTAACTTTCCTGAGTTGCCTTGCCAACAGGATTTTGGAGATGCCCATGTAATTCGCAGCTCCTTAGCCTCCACGTTCAGCGTGAACGCTTTGGGCATCCTGGTGCCCCTTGCCCGAACAAGGCACAGGCTGCCAGCCGTGCATGTATCAAAGCTCAGTGCTAAGCTTTGTAACTTTTTGCCAATCTCTACGAGTTGATTCGGGCAGCCTTGCTCCAGCTCTGCGTAAGAACTTTAGACTCGTGGTCGGCAAGCTCCGGGCTCCTGCAAATCCTGCAAGTCCACGTTTGATCTTCAAAGCTTGTTTTTTTCAAGCAAGGCTTTACCTGGTGATGGCTGCCTCAGCTCTTGGTGCCGCTTCAGCAATTGTCAATGCCGCGGGGGCCAAATCTTTCAGCGACTTGGACACGGAGTTCAGAGATGGACGAGAAATGGAATGCCAACAATTTGATCTCCACATGGTATGATGTGTAGGTCCGTATTTCCGCTTGGAAGCCAACATGACGGACAGTCGTGCTAGCATGCTGCATGACGTCATACAAGGGCACACGGTGTGCAAGCGTGATTGTAGCCAAAGGTCTGTTTGACGCGCTATTACTGTAACATTTGCAGACTCAGACCTGTCATCTAGTATCCTCAGCAAGTCTCAGCAACACAAATCAGAGCTGCTCGCCTTCAACTTTTCTATTGCAGCAACAACCAGGTGAGGAGCTGGGTGCCAACGTGGATGTCCTCGCCTACATGTATGTCACCCAGCTGCTACTTCAGTGCTTTATTGGTACGCCAGCTCTATCTTAGTGTGCGGATTGTCAGCTCGACAGGTTTCGCTGTATGTTGGAAGCGATTTTCTCAGTCGAATTTTCTGGGTCGTACAGTTTGACCAGCTGGGCAAGTGAATCGCAGTGGCACGAGCGAAACCCTAGGTGTACATTCTCATGCCAGTGACCTTCCGTGTGGCACACTCTCCCACGTCTCAGCCATCTCAGCTCAGCAGGTTCTGGACTTCCTAGTAGATGCAGTGACACCGTACGTGGGCTTGGACGAGCTCAGTGGCATGTGGGCGCTAGGCTTCTTCGGCAGGCTGTGCAGAGTTGTAGATCCGTCCGTTCACGGGGGGCATTAGGTCTGCGGAAGGGAGAGTGCAAATCTGCAACCGGTACTCGCATGAGAGGTGGCGGGATGAGCGGGATGAGTTTGAGTCAGCGAAAGCTGAGAACCACAAGACCTTTGGCCGCAAGACGAATGTGTTGTGCTTCCTATGATGTCCGGACGGCTGTTTTGTTTCGGCATCTTTTGGGTATGCCAAGTGCACACCACTGCTTCCAGGCCAGCGTGCACGGACCCAAACAATCCGCACGCAAACAATTCTGGAACCTTGCAAATATGGAGCGTGTTGCCTTTTCTACAAAGCATGCTGGGAGCTCAACTATAACATCTCAGTCGCACATGGTTTTCCTGTTTCCTCCTGATGCAATGTGTTAAGTCTGTAGTCGTCTCAAGCTCCTAACATTGGTTGCAAAACTCGGCTACTCAGAATTGTCAGTGAGCTTTGATGACAATCAAGGAGGAAAGCAAGCTTTGCAAGAGTGTTTTTGAATGTTCCGTTGCAGCCAGGTTCCGCTGGACATCGCTGGGTGCTGAGGTCCTCGGTGTTGGGCCCAGCGGCACAGGACCCACGTGTACTGCATACCATGCAACCCACGTTGCGACGAAAGAAGCTCATTCTAGGACCCTTGCGCGGCTTTGCTGCTAAGCGAGGCCTCCGCTGATCTGTTGGCCCCAGAGTCACTTTCTGTGTTTCTTTGTGCGGCAGGTCATGTGTTTGGGTAGAGTGTCTCACCGAGTCTCTTGACTTTGGAATGCTTTGAACCGTTTTGCAGAACGTAGCCCTCGACGAAAGTTAGATTGAGTGTAGTGTGTGCCCGGGATCAAATGTAAAAACGCATCTGACTTCGACATGAGATTCAGTATTTCCTGTGTGCTTCCGTTGTTCTGTCATATTCGGTTACTATCTCGTCCACGCTTTTTTCGCGAGTAGAACGGTGTTGCGATTTCTATCTATTTCTTCCGTAACGCTAGTATTCTCTGATCTTCGTCTAGCATGAATTCAATGAGCAGAGCCTTCAGCAGAAGGGAAGCAAGGCATAGTTGCATAAAGCCACGAAAGGTGGGGTTTGCCATGCACTACGTGGAAAACCATGGTCGGCACATAAAAGATGAGAGGAAAGACTCATGGACGCGCAGAGAAAGTGTTTTGGGAACGACAGGGTGAGACCTTCCGGAGTACTTCTGCTGATTTCAAAGCATCACATTCCATGTGTGCTGGCTTGTCGCAATGTAACAACTTGAAGAGGCGAACTCCCACATTTTCGGTGACAACAAGCAGATCCATACCGCATCTCCTACTGAATACGCAAAAGTGTGCATTCAACAAAACATTCCTAGTTCATTCTGATCTCCAAATAAGCAACATCCATAGGAAATCCCTCGTGCTGACCTTCTTGTTCTTATGATTCTAAACTCTTGGCATGTCAGCTGTTTTGGGTGCTGGCATCTCTTGGATCCTCACCCTCGGTCTAGCTGAAGCAGTTTGCAGAGCAGCGGAGGGTTCAATGGCCACAAGCCATGGACAGGAAGTAGGAAGCCTTCATGGATGAGTTTCCTGGCGTTTCTTGCAGGCCGGCCAGGTGACAGCTTTGTCGTACCTCACGGCCGCTCGCACACAGAGAGCTGAGGCATGGGCATTGGGCCTTAGCTTCTATGCTATGGCAGTTGAGGCAACAATTGATGTCACGGGCAACAGCAGCGCCTTGCATTGAATCAGCAACCTCATTCTTGCCGTCACAAGGGCCAGTATTCTGACGACTTAGGCATGGCTCAAGCGATGCCGATTATTCTGGACTGCGGCAGTGAAGCTGCGCTGCCAGCTGTTCAGCTCCCAGCGATGAGCATGTAGAGCCCATGCCTCCTGATTGATCCAGGACTTATGGGAAGGCCGGGGTCAACAATGCTATGATGAGCAAACCTATTATAGAACCATGAAGGAGTCAGCCTGAACAAGGCATGCAAAAACAGGATGGATCAGGATTGGCCTGCGAGAGCAGTTTGCCCAAGTATGCCGGGCAAGCAGACTGATCAAGATCAGATGCTGCGAAGCAAATAATGACTGCAAAGAATGAAGCTCACCGACTTGCGGAATAGTTTCGAGTAGCTGTTTCAGGGCCAGGCTTTATTCGTTGAACCGTGGAATGAGGCGCTCAGCACTGTCTGCCCCAGCTTAGATCAGATCGTTCTATTACGCAAGCCAGGACGTATAGAACAACCTGCCGCCATGTCCCGCAACTGGTTTGGATGCGGGCTCCAGTAAGTGACACGACTCACTATACTGCAGCCCCAAATCTATGCCTCAGTCGATCGGCCAGGCGCCGCCCAAGCCCAAGGAGGGCCAAATCTGGCGCGAGCCGGAGACCAAGGGCGCTTCATGGGTTCAGGAACTTTGGTCAGAGGCCCGAACCATCGTAAGCACTTCCGTGTGGGCCAGGCTGGGCAGCCAAGTCGCTCGTCAAGAAAGGGTTATATATGGTTTGCGCATGAGCTTGAAACTTCGAAAGCGTCCTCGGGGGCTTCAGGGTTGAAGGTTTCCAAAAAACAGGCTGGCTGACTTGTATCGACGCGGCTTGGAAGGCAAGGTGTGTCGACGTCTGCGCTCCTCTCCAAACACTTTTCGGCTCAAGTGTCCAGCATGCAAGTTCTTTGTTGTTTCGCCTAGCCAGCGTGTTGTAGCAGCGTGGACAAGCAGATGCTCACCGACTTTCACTGAACATTGATGTACTAGGGCCGTCAGCATGTCAGGTCAAGCTATGTCACTAAGACGAAATTCATGTTTAACCATTCGGAAAGTGAGCCGCTGTAGCTCAACCTGTCGCCATTGTCGGCTTTCCATCTGTCGCCGCGGGCCAGGGCACCACAACTGCATCATGACCGTGCCATCTGCATGCTGTTTCAAGTGCTGCATCTTTCGTGGTGAAACGGTAATGTCGGGTCCTGATTAGTGTAGCGCACCCCCCCCCCAGCCCCGCCCCCCCAAAACAAAAATGGGTACCTATTTAGTATAGGGGGGGCACCCCCCCAAACAAATCTGGATCCTAGGTTTTAATCAAAATTCAATAGGCGGGATTGGATCCTAGGATTTGATTAAAACAGAATAGGATTCTATTGGCTGTTTCTCAGAATTATTTATTCCGGCCGCGCAACTTCGCACAATTGAGCACCCCCCAAACGAACCTAGGGGGTGCTGAATAATTTCGGCGAAACTTCGCGCAATTGAGAACCCCCACACTAATCGGGAGCAAACATTAACAAGGGAGCAGCCAATCAGCCCATCGATTCCTAAAGCATCCGCTTCATGTCCTGAGTCAAGTCTCTAAAGAAAGGGAACTGGTTGGGTGGTTTGTGGCCACAAATTCCCAAGCAGAAGGCCGGCAATCCTTAGTTCAGGGCTTGACCCAGGCAGCAATGGATACACACTGCCCAAGAATGAAGCAACACCCACCATGAAAGAACATCCATCTTCTATTCTAGGTCCTAGGCAGAAGGTGGGGACCGTTACAACCCAGAAATTGTATGGGGCTTCAGTCCTGTTTAAGACGCGCATGGCGTAGCTTCAAATGCCAGACCTTTGTCGCGCAAGCTGATTTGAACCGAAAGCTTGGTTACAAACTGAGGCTGCTAGTCGGCTTTCATAATGTTCTTGTTTATTCGGCCGGCCAATAATAGATGCATGTAATGGGAAGCGTCCGAGTCGCTGTGAGAGAGAGAGGGAAGCGTGAGAGAGCCCACATGCATGGTTTCTTGTCTCACAACGCTCAGCGAATTCGTGTTCCTTGTCGGGGGGTCCATGCAGTACACAGGATGATACTTGAGCAATTGGTTCTGGTCCTGGTGCAAGTTTGCTGCAATTTGCTGTTTGAGCTCAAGCATCATTGTGCAATAGCTCGGATGTAGCTCCGCAGCTATCAGTGCCGGGTTCCGGCAGCTGGCGTCATGGCTGGCCATGCTGCGGCCCCATACCCTGGAAAGAGCCCCTTCAGCATGCTGTCGGTGGATGAATGCGTGGGCATAGTGGCGAGCAAAGTCCTTGGACCCCTCGAAACCAAAATTGTGCCTTTGAACCAGGCGCTTGGAAAGGTCCTAGCAAAAGAGGCAATTGCAGCGGAAGCCATTCCCGCCTTCCCAGCATCCATCATGGATGGCTTCGCTATGCGGTCCCAAGATGCCCCTGGAAAATATCCTGTGGACACAGTGGCTGGAACTACGGCGGGTGCAGACTCGCTTGGACCGCTCAGGGAAGGACATATACGTTACATTACCACTGGCGCACCTTTGCCAGAAGGGGCTGACACTGTTGTTAAGGTGGAAGACACAAACCAGCTGCCAGGCTGACTTCAGCTCAGTTAGTAGACTTTTGCGATCCAAAAATGTTGAAAGTTGCAGGCTGGTCCAGGCTGATGGGCAGCTGGAGATCGAGGTCCTTTGCTCCAGCAAACCAGGCGCCAATATCCGTGCAGTCGGCCAGGGCCTCAAGCTCGCAATGAAGTCCATTCCCCATGAACACCGATTTCAGAGCTGGTCTTCAGGCTCAGACACTCGAAAGGGCGAGGTTCTTCTGCAAAAAGGCTGCCGCATCGGTGCTGGTGAGATTGGTGTACCTCAGATCACGAATGCCTTTCATGGATTAGGGTGGCGTAGAGCTCTATCACAGCTGCAGAAATATGCAACATCTGCTTTGAGGTTCTGGCTGCCCTTGGCCTCAGTCGCGTTGAAGTCTTCCGAGAACCCCGAGTAGCAATCATCTCAACCGGTGACGAGCTGGTGGATGTAGGTACATCAGCTGCAACAAGGCCAGTCTGTCAAGCAGCAGGCCCGGCTGGGCGATGAGGCCCTGCTCGAGTCTGAGGTGCTAGTTGCAGCCTGGATCGCAGCCGCGGGCAGATCGTTGACTGCAACCGTCCACTTCTCTGCGCCCTCGCGCAGGAGCTTGGCACTGAGGTGCGCCGGAGTTGTTGGGTTCTTGTGTGTTTGAGAATCATGCTGGATTTGTCCAGAAGCTGGGTGCTAATTGAATTGTAGGGCGTGTGCAGCACATACGCTTCACCGACGCAGAGTTTCTCTGCATGTTGAGTTGGCTAAGAAGGCCCTGGACATGGGCTTCGTGACAGACGATGTGTCGAAGCTTCGAGCAACCCTTGTCTCCGCATTCCAGCAGGCTGGGGTCTTGTGTACGAACATGGCGCAGCCCAGTAAGCTCACTCGAGTTGTGTAAGCAACTGAGCGAGTTGGAGCATGTTGCCAGCCACCTGATGCAGCAGTATGGTTTTCTGCGTGTACTCGCTGCCTTGCCAAAAATCTAAAACATTAAAAACACTTTGGGATCACACTACTGACGGCAAGAGTTCCTTGGGCAGGCTGACGTGGTAGTCAGCTCCGGCGGCGTCAGCCGTGGGAGCAAGGATTTTATCAAAGAATTGCTATCAGAGCTTGGGGTGATCCATTTCGGGGAGATGTGCATGAAGCCCGGTGGCCTGGCACGCTTTAGCATCCCCCCCCCCCCCGCACCCCCAAGCTCGCTCGACAATTTGGAGTGTCCAGCTTGCAGGCAAGCCCAGCACGTTTGCGACCGTACCTGGGCCCACCGAAACGGCCAAGCGCAAACTGTTCTTCGGCCTGCCAGGAACAGTGGGATACGATGTTGACATGAGCAATTGCGATTGCTTCCTTAGAGCCCTGAAGGCAATCCAGTGAGCTGCTTCGTAACCTTCAAGCTGCTCGCAGCCCCAGCCCCTTGAGCTGCAGCCAGTGGAATACATGCAAATGTGCCGACCATGTGTTTACCGATCTTAGTTGTTAAACATACTACTATTCCGAGCCATGTTGGCCATAAAAATTGAACAGATTCTTGAGCTTTCAGCGTGCTTTACGTTATTGACATTTCAAGGAGGAGATAGATAGCCAATGTAATCACCATGCCCTCAATGAAGTGGCTGGGTTTCAGCTAGCATGTCCGGGCAGGCTTGAGGCGTGAATCAGCCAACATTGAATTCTGTGGCAGCTGCAGCGTTCAACCCAGAATGGACGGACGCACAATCGTGGACGATCGTGGACAGTTGAAGCTCCAAAATTCTTGGCTAGCGGCTAGCAGCTAGCATTTGCAAGCTCTTTTTGTGCCAGGCCCTGGAGCGTCTATGCGGCTTGCCTCAGGAGGCGCCCCTCTACCCTCGGGTAGATGCGGAGCTGGCGGGCCCTGTAGACATGGACCCTGTGCGGCCGGAGCACCTCAACCGGAATGCAAGCAGCAATTGGAAACAGTCTGCCACATGCAACTTGCATCGCCCTGATACTGAGGTATCATCGAGCAAGAGCCCGATGGGAGTCTGGACGCCTCTTAGCCATTTTATCGGAAAGAAGTTGTTTGTCTGACTGATATCTAACATAATCTGACTTTTCAGCAAGTCCGGGGGATCTCACACAGTTGGCATGCAGAGTCGGTAAAGGAGATGTGCAGTTCACAGTCAAAGATGATGTGTTATTCGGGTCTCCGAAGCCTTGAGGCTGTGGACTAGCAACCCCATGGATTAAATTACACAGGCCCTTGGCACACAAAGTTAAAGCGGGCAACAGGCATTATCGCTGAGAGCACTGGCTTCCAGCGTAGCAGCCGCATCGCCTCCATTGCTGAAGCCAACTGCCTGCTGGAGATCCCCAAGGACAAGGGTACGCTGCCCAAAGGCGGGGGCACAAAACATGGCTAGACAGTCTCATGAGCAGCTAGCTAGCAACTACAGAGTTTGAGTTACGGGCTTATTTGCAAGAGTTCAGCCTGAGAAGCTTGTTCCCACAAGAAGTCTACGATTCGCGTAGCACAGTCCTAGAATTAGTTGCGCTGCTAGTTTTAGAGTGGGCACCAGGCACGGTGGTGAAAGCACTGCTGTTGCCACATGGCAGCCGATCCCTGGTCCCAAGCCCAGAAGGCTTCCCGCAAGCACCTCGGCCAAACTCTTGCGCGTACAACAAGGATTTTCAGTGCTACACCTCTATCAGCTTCTCAGACTTTTCATCCTGCCTGGAACAGAACCAATGCTTGGAGTCTTTCCCTCATTCCAGGGAAGACTTCGTCTACCGCCGCCTGAGCCAAAGTCAGCGGAGGAGCTGCTGACGTCGAGCATTTGGAGTCACCCAGTCTGATGCATTGTTGCTCGCCATTGCTGGGCCTTCGTCGCAGCAAAGCGCGCTAGAACAGACTTCCCGTACCTTGTCAATCCTTCTTCCTTGATCCAGAACGACTAGCTCAATCTAAGCAAGTGGCATGTTGTTCACGGATGTCGCTTGCAGAATCCTGCTGCAGACTGGCAGGCGGGCCCTCCGAGTCGGGCGCTGCGCCTAGGACTCCTGGCCCTGGGGGTG